TTTCAAAAGAAACGAGAAACCTGCAGAACACAGGCTTTGTGAGCTTGATTAAAATCCAGTGGTGATACAGCATGAAAGCAAATAAAATAAGTGTCTGAAAAACAGTGGAACTTCAGCTTTGCCACAGTGAATGGTCAGAGTTGCACCTCAAAACCACTGCCAGTTCTCCAGTCTGAGAGCATGTTGCTTGTTTTGTGGCATTCAAAGCAGAGACCTCTTACAGCTCCTCTCCATTGGGATATGGCAGTTCTCCAAGCATTTGTGAGCAGTGGCATGGAGGAATTATTTTAACTGCAGAAGTGAAGATAGCGGAACACGGAGTATGGATTTGAGCTCTGCACAGGGGTAGCTTTTGGTGTTTCTGACAAAAACCTACTTGTGAAAAGAAGAGACATGCACAAAGTCCAGCCCTGCAGCCAATTTTCAGTGGCTTTAATGGGAACTTTTCTGGCATAAAAACCAGGGACAAGCCAGCTGCAGTGCACGCATACGGAGTCAACCTGTGGCTTCCCGCGGGACTGAGATGTGGAAGAGAGGCAGCAAGATATAACAGCCGTGCTTTGGAAAGTTTCACCTGCTGAAAGAGGCTACTGGGGGAGATATTTGAGGATGAAGGATTTCTGTGGTGCTTTTGTATACAGTTTACACAGCCGACCTTTTAAACTGCTAACAGAGTACAGAGCCTAGAAACATTCACAGTCACTCCTGAGTTAAGGGTTTTGTCCTGTTGAGCCATTACATTATCTGAGTCTAAACTAAAGAGTTTTTGGCTCTGAATAATTTAGGTGAGAGAGCTAGCCCTAGGCCAGGTGCTCTACTTATGCAGATGGTGAAATAAATTATTCAGAAAAGGAGACAGGTAAAACAGATGGGAAAGGACGCCAAAACAAGACACCCAGAGGGCAGCTGTTTTACAGCTCCCCTGCCAAGCACCTTACTTACCAGGAGGGCTGTGGTAATGAGTGAAGCAGTGGTACTGAAAATGAACTTTGCCTTCTTAATTCATGTGGTGGTCACAGGGGAGAAGACTGCTGATGCCTGGAAGCAATCACCAGTGTTTAAACCATCGCAACCTGTGCTTTAAAATTAGGGAACACTTTCGCAAAGGATTTGCCCTATCAATGGGACAGAGGTTCCCAAATTATTTGATTTTGAAAATGAACTTCAGTGAGTGGGAAGAAATATACTCCTCAAAATATTGACTCAATCTAAACAACAACATTGTTCAAACTACTTATGCAGCCATGTTGTTCAGTTTTGTTTTGTCTTTCCAGATAGATGGATTTTTCATTTTGATTAAACTTGTGTAATTTGGAGTCTATTTTTCAAAGCAGCTTGGGATTCTTACTACTTTTGTCTATGGTCATATGCATCAATTTTTATAGAACCCATCATTTCAACTATGAGAAATAAAGGCCTTTGATATTAAAAGTACTCATACAGTCCAGGAACTTATGCCAAATCAATTAAAAGTTCTAAATTATCTTGCCATTTTTACTGACAAGTGAATATTCTGCCGGCTTTTACTGTCAGTCATGTTTAATTCTTTCACTAATGACAATCACTAACTTTACTGATGGTTGGCAATGAAAGACAAGTGTCATGAATGTATACAAAAGCTGACACAGTTTTTTAGGAGGCTAAATAAACAAATTACTGCGTGTTTGATTTTCTAAATTACATTCCCATAATAGAGAATCTACGTCACACAAATAACCTCTCTGGTTTTGAGGGAGTAAAGAAATTTGTCTGCGAAAGCGACAAATTTAGATGTATAGTGAGCCATGCCTACGTATGCAGTTACACTTTCTAGTCAACAGGAGTTAGATGCTTCCCTGTGCACTGTTTCACTGGGGATAAGTTTCTATGTAGAAAAGATATCTGGCTTGCTTGCTTCTCTTCCCCAGGAGTAAGTGGCAAAGGATACGAGATAAAGAGGAAAGAAGGAAGGTGAAAAGAGAAACTTGAGCAAGAGAAAGGGAAACAGGTGAAAGATTTGGCTACAGAAAAGCAATGCGTGAAAGGAATGCTTATGTGTCACACACTAGGAGATCCCCCCTGAATTTCTTCAGCCTAGATACTGGCATCGAAGTTCCCCTATTAGCAAACTGTGCCAAAGCTGCCACATCCGTGATATGTTCCTGGAGAAACTGACTCCCTGCAGGACCTTGAAAAGTTAATCTCACTTTTCTGTATCTCTTCTTTTTTGTGTTACCTGGTGTGGCTGAGCCCTCTGAGGCAGAAGCTGTATGTCTGTATTTCATGTCTATGACACTTAGCATAATGTCTCCTCAGCCTTCCTGGGGGTCGGGTGTAAGTGCAGCACAGATAATGCTGCCACGCGTATTCTTCTTGCAGAGAACACACTTGAATGTAAATCCAGTGCATCAACCCGCTCCCTATGATCTTTATATTGTATTTCCATGCAGAAAGGGTTCTGTGGATAAAGCACATTCATATTGCAATATAGGTTATCATAATAATGATTTCTCAGTTAAGGAATAATCTAAATCTGACAAAGGCATTTTGAAGGCTCTTTCAGGTATAGATTCTTCTTTTTTTTCCTAAGTCATGCATTTACAGTGTTATGATAAATTGGGTGAAAGTGAATTAACAGCAAAACTCAGTGTGGCTACAGTTAAAATTCAGGAAAAATGTTAGAAAAGTGAAACTCATTATTTGATCTCAAACATCTATAAAGTTAGCACAGAAGGACACAAAGTTACTTATTCAAACAGTTAATATTTTTCCATTTTAGCTTTACTCCAGTGTAAAAGTTCTTCTCAAATAACACTTCATGTAATCATTATTTCCCAAAGTAGGTGCAAAGCAGCCTTCTTTGTCATCCTAAGAAAGTTTCTTTTGCTGCCCAATACAAGTTCTAAAAAACATACTGTTACATATTCTTACAGTCTACAGGCTCTTCTCTGAGCTGACATTCGACGTGTACTTATCTGAGGTATTATGTAAGACCAAGAATCTCACTTTCTGGTTAGATGAGTGTGTTAGCTAAGGATGACACTCAGTCAATAAATCTTTTCACTTTCTCTGTACTTCCTTTGATCTCCAAAGAGGATTTTGACATCCTCTTCAAAGAAAACAATATCCGGTGATGTCCATCTTTTCTGATTCCCTCTTCATATCTTTTCTTCTTAGTGACCATCGTTGTGGCTTCTTGACTTCTTTCATTTGATTGCTGACTGATACACTTGAAGTATTTACTCTTCTTTCATGTCTGTTGTCTTGCCCACCATTTTAATTAGTCTTCTTTTCTGACTCTCTTTCCTAGAAATGCAGACATTTTTTGTATTGTCTGTCCTCAGAGAGCTGTCCCTTAGTTCTGCCTATCTACAGCACTACACCACTTTCTTCTCTTCCTCGACTGTATCCCCTACCATCATTAGCAAAGTTCCTTTATTCTAGTGGCATCTTGGATCCCCTTTCTTCTAGTTCTTTGCTGATCCACCTCATAAAAAACATTGTCCTGGGCAAAACTCTGGCTCTCTCTCATGCCCCAAGTCTTTGATTCTTTGTTTTTCCTACTGTTGTTCATACCAATCTCTTCCTTCCCCAGTCTTTCCCTATTTTTACTACATTTTACTAACTTAATGATTACCTTTCTCATCTGCATGCCTGTCTGTTACCTATGTCACTTTTTTTTCTCAGTAAGTCTTTGTTGCACAGCAAAGATACCCTGTAAGTGCTACTGAAAAACTCTTTTGAAATCATGTAATCACTTTGCAATTCCCTCTATTCAAGTCTAGATCCTGTTTACTTTGAGTTCTGATCCTCAAGGAGAAATATATGTATATATCTGCATTAGCAATGTGAGTTACATTATCCAGTAGTTCGAGGAGAGGGACTGTTGTTTCAGTTCATTAAAATGTTTTTCTCTTTTCTTATCAGGCCTTATAATCAGTAAATGAGAAAGATCACAAGTGTCATCTCTGAAGTCCCGGGGCAGTATGAGGCAAAACAAGAAAGCTATTCTGTTAGAAACTGCATGCTATATCAATGCAGATAAAGGAGTTTCCATTTAGTTTGTTGAAAAACAGTGTCATCTACATAGAAGAAAATAATGCAACTAACAATTCTGAATTAGCACAGACTGTGGGAGAATGGGGATGTACCAGTAAATACTCACCTAGTAATCAGTGAAATAGAAAAATTCTGTTCTGTTGAGCTGAATTGTAATTAGTAACAGAATTGACAAAGGTGTACTTTAAATCTTGAGAAATCTGAGCAGTGTCTTGGAAATTTCTTCAGAAAAGCAGATAATGAATGACCTCACTGCATTGCAGGGTGTAGCTATCACCTACAAGGACAAATATATCATCATAGATATAAATTGATCTTTTAAGTTGTCTTAATGTAGGTAAGATGTAATTACCTGTTCTCAAACCATCCTTAGTGTCTGATACAATTTTTATAGTAATATTTGTGGTGAAGAAGTGTCTTATGCATGATTTATGACCTTGATCTATTAATTTAGTATGTTTTCAAGAGCCTGAAACTTTTGGCCTTCATCTGTGAAAGAGAAACTGTGATCTGATGCATGGCTTAGTATCTTTTTCCAAATGTCTGGAAATTTAGAGGATCTGGTTTTCTATAAGTCATGAAAACAGAATTTTTGGGAGTCTGTTTCTGTTAAGATGAGTGAAATTTGTACAGCTGAAATCACGCTTAGGCTGACAAGACTGGGTTTTTTCACTAGTAAGCTGTATAGTGAATCTTTACCAATAAATATGGTCAAGAGTCTTACACCATGATTAATGATTCAGATTCTGGTTTATCCCAGTACAAGTGCTTTTTATAAGTGCTTTGCACAACAGTGAAGTTCATCTTAAAATATTACATTATAAACACTTTTTATATACAAGGATTAATTACTGAAACCTGAAACTCTGAATTCAAATGTTGAACTTTTAACTAAGTCCTATTTCATGGGAACGTTGGAAGTTGGTATTCTTTCTCACTTTTTTTTTTTTTTTTTTTTACAGAGATGGAAAGAAATGCACAAGAGCATGGATATGTAAATAACTTTTCCTGACTTTTCCTGACACATTTCAGATTTGGTAAGTAAATTTGAATGAACATATTTGTTTGAGTGAATCCCACTGGCCAAAATCTTTGATTATGGTGTATTTCTTTCTTGAAACCTCTCTTCATGGATGAAAAGCTTTGTACATTGCAAGAGCCAGTTTTTTAATCAGCTAATGTTCTTATCAGTTATTCCCTAATATGGTATAATATAATTGGTGCAAAATATCAGAAAAAAACCCAATCTCTTTGTTGGCAGCAGTAGGCAAGATTTGCAAAGTAAACTCCAGTGGGCAGGTTAAAGGCCCCAGGTTTTTAAAGAACTTCTGTGCATTAAATTATCTAAGATAAAATCCTATCTCACATAAGTCAATAGATAAAATTCATATAATGTTTACATTCATTGTTTTGGCCTGAAATATGATTTTAGTTAAGTAAACCTGATATTTTTAAAAATGCAGGCACTGTTTTAAGCAGATATGCATCAAAAATAAGATGAAAGGAGCACCAGACACAAAACTAAATGCGTTTTAGAAGTGAAATGCTAGGTTTCCGGGAGGACTGTTCCAAATTGCTGTGGTGGGCAGCCAAACCCTTCTAAGGGAGTTGTGTTTTGTCCAGTCAATTTATTTCAGGACTTAAAATTGCAATTTTCTGCTACAGTAGTTGTTTTCTTTTGTTTCTTGATTAGAAATAAATGTGGGACAGGTGTTAGTCTCCATGCAATAAAGTTGAGACAAGACTTTTGTAGGCAGACAGGCATAGAAGGCAGTTCATGTACAATGTGTAAGTGTATTCATATCATGTTCAAGGCATCTGCACATTATATGCCTTTTTTTTCAGTCACGACTTTCCATCTTCCATTTGCACCATCTTATTCAAGTTTTCAAGAATGTCAGACTAATTCTTGCAAGCTTTCAATGTCAAGATTTGCACATTCAAACTAAATGAAAATAAAGTGCAAAGGTGACTGAAATGATACAGAGAGACAGTAGAGTAGTACGGTTATGGAAAGGTTTTATAACAGTGTGTAACTACAAAGTAGTCTGCTGAGAAGCACCAATCTGGGGAATCAGACAAGGCAAAAAGCCAGCAAAGAGGCTATAAAATTGGCATCAAGAGAAGACGCGGTGTTACTGCTTTGGTAGAGCTATGCAGTTTTTAGCTCATGACGCAAGAAGGAGGGGAAGGAAAGAATCTTGTCTTTTTAATGCCTGTTCCCATGCAAAGTCTGGTAAACCAAATTCTGACTGGCCTATTGCAAAATAAAATGTTAGAATTTCACCAAGTCAGAAGGCATGAGGAGTTATATCCACAAGGGAGTGAATTTTTCATGCAGCAAACCGTGGTTGATATCACTCATGAAGAAAGATGCAACTAAATGGAGGAAGAAAACACACAGAAGAAATGAAATATTTTCCACGTATTTTGCTTTGATGGAAAAATGCAGTAACACTTAAAATCTAGTGAAATAAAAGGAAGCTAATGTTTTAGCTTTTGCATGTATCTGTGGATATACAGAAGCTATTATTAACATGCACCTTACTATAATGATTCATACAGACGTTAAGCAGGATTATGAGGTAAATAAAGGCACAACCATCCTCTTAAATCATGCTATACTGATCAAACAGCTCTGTACAATACCATAGCTATTTACTTACAACAAGATAAAACATGATTAGTGCCCATTACCAGTGTGGTAAAATGAAAATAATCTCAAAGCACATGTTACCCAAGTAAAGAGTACTGAACTGAAATAGAGCCAAGTAACAAATTCATACTCATCAAAGAAGTTATTAAAAAATTATGAATTTCATCAAATAACTAATGAATGCCTACACTTGCTGATTCAGCAAACCTCCAAACACCGCTTGATTTTAAGCATGTAAATGAATATTTTTCAACCTGGGGTCTACAGGTACCTGGGATTCCATAGTCTCCTTTTAAGAGCCCCCAAAGAGATGAAAGAACATTAAGCCTTTAAAGTTCACTTTTCCTCTGCTAAACTTACAAGAACGGCATGTCCTAAAAGGGTAAGGACTGGTAATTTAATCTGGCTCCTTGTCCATCCAAAATCTTAATTATGTGAGATTAGAGAATTAAAGCACTACAAACAAACAGAACATTCATTCAGTTTGCCATTACTACACATACTAATTTTACTGTTACAATAGTTAATCATTTAAACGTTGGCTGTATAAGTCTTTTTATTGCATACATTATACAGAACAGAAAAAAATCACCACAAAATACAAATAGATTCAATGCTCATTTTGGGAGATCGAAAATTACACTGAAGTACATTTAAAATGTGTACCTAGAAGGCTTAGAGGTTGGATTTTCAAACTCACAGAACTCAGACAAATAAAACTAGCTTCCTCCACAGTATGACCAAGTTATAATTCCTTCATTAAGATTATCTCTATGCTAAGATGGAATGGATCTGTGTTGGCTGCATTATTGTGAGAACTAAGGTCAAAATGTGTTTTTATAGTTTGGAAACTGTGCTTTTCCCATTCACTCAGTGCTGTCAGAAATCTTTACGTTTGAATTTTCACAACAATAATAATAGTTTTGCTTTTAAATGGGAACTCAGCATAGTAATTATCAGCCCATACAAAATGAATGGTTAAAAAAAATTATCATCTGAACCTAAGGTTTTATAATGCAAGATGCCTTATAATCTCAGAAGAAATCCTCACATTCTAATAAAATAAAGTAACTGGAGGCAGAGTGAAATTAATAGTCAGCAACCATAACAATACTCCTGTAATTAAATATTTCACATTTCAAGGATACCTATTCACAAAACACTTAAATAGCTCATCAGTTTGGCCACTCTCCCTTGCTTGTAAGCAAAGGAATGCATTCAGCCGAGTGGACATGCTTATTGTGCATCTTCTTCAGGGAAACAGTTTATGACCACAGTTTTGCAATGAGACCGTCTCATGTCTATAAAATGCAATGAAATCAGCCATATACTGTATGCAGTTTAGGGGAAAAAAAGTCACTTGAAGGCTTGAGTTCTCCTTAGGTGAAAGAGCAAAACACTCCACAGAAGAGGTCAATTGGATGTGGAGACCAGGGCTATGGCAGAAGCTTCATAACTGATTAGCAGGCAGAATTCTCTGAGGGTTGTCAATCATGTTTTGCTTCCTCCAACACAAATGCTTGTTTATTTTTAGTCTCCTAAGGCTTTGCTAGCACTAGGCAGCAGGGCCAATGTGTAGCAGTGCAGAGCTCTCAGCTGCAGCAGTTCAGCTGGAAACTGGGAGAACTCAGCACTTCTCATGATTAGTCTCTAGACTGAGGCAGGACAATGTCTGTCCTGAAAAGTAAGGCAGAAATTAAGGTGGCACCTCACTTTCCAGTCAAATGCTTCTGTAAGTGTCTTAGTAAAGTGTGTCTGATAGGCTTAGCCCACACAAGTGCAGAACCTGTTTGCATTCTGCCTCTGATGATGTCTCCTTCTGTAATGTATAGCTGCACACAAAAACACACATGAATATTTTTTCTAGATTTGAGCCTAACACTTAGGAAAAATAAAATAATGTCTGTGGCATTGCTCCTGTTTTCTAAAAGTAAACTTGTTGAATGAGGGAGGTTCTCTCTACAGGTATAAAATGTCATTTAATATGTAGATTGTTTTTTAAAAATGTAATTATCTATATTGATATGTTTCACTCTTACAGTAAAGCAGTACTAAACAAAACTCTAGCTCCACACATCCTTTATTGTTTTATTTTATAAATCTAAAGAAAAAATGGCTCACAGCAGTCTTGAGAAACAAGCTGCATCTGTTTAATATTAAGGTGCAAAAAATAATAATAAAACCATTACTTTTGGAATATCCAAATAACCTGAGGAAAAATAGCATCCAGCTGGCCCTTGGTATAACTGGTTTTTACATCAGTTGGATGTCTCTGGGATTACCAGATTCAACACTTATCTTTAAGTAGAGTGAGTTTCTAAAGATGTAGCATCCAGAAACTTGTGAGTAATCTGTCTGCTTAGAAGTACAATATTGTGTTACCAGATCTGCCGAGCAAATGCACAATAAAGTTAATCCTTTGGTTCTGGAAAAGCTGTAGGCATTGCAATGGCAGATGTGCTGAAACAGAAGTGTTTACATTTGTTAGGGCTTGTGAAGCAGCAACTCCACCATCTCACAAGTGTATGAATTTCCTGCAAGCATTTACCTAAGGGCTATCTTGGGGAAGGAAAAGAGCTCAGAAGGAGTCTCTGAAGCCCGCTGGCAGACTGGCAAACCTCTCTCCTGGTTGTCTCATGCCTTTGAGCGAGATATTACGGCACTAACGTGCTTTTGGTATACAGGGGAAAGTATTACAAAGACCAATATGCAGTCATATGTAACAGGTTTTCCACTTCTTTCTGATGCCATATGGGAAGCAAGAAAAATGTTACTATTAAAGGGTTTGTACAGTGGATGTATGACATGATTCTGGTTTGGGCAGAACTTTGAGACAGAGCTGCCTTCTAGACCTTATCCTACAGCAAGCTCCAGAGTAGACTGGGAGGCCTCAAATTCAGAAAGCCAGGTTCTGTAGAACACAGATGAGTGGCGTAACATTTTCAACAGAGAATGCAATGAAGCTAGGCTAGGACTGAAATAAAAATGTGCCATATGTGGCTCTGGCTGAAGGTAGGTTCTTGTTTCCATGGCCAGTTGCAGGTGAACTGGTGACTTTGAGTCTTTAGTTTGGTAGCCCGCTCCTGAGACAGTGGCCATATTGCCCATAGCAAGCAGAAAGGAAGTCACTTGGAAGGTCTCCAGGTGATTTATTGTACTTCATATTTAACCATGCTAGGCAAGATATAGTTCTTTGTTGCAGAGAATGATGACCAACAGAGGTACTGCAGAACAGAATGATGACTGCAATATCTGCACAGAGATACTTTGATGCTCAGTCACAGGAAAAAGAATAGAGCAGAACTGATGGGGCTCGACAACTGGGGCAAAGTGCAGATGAAGGAGGTCCTTCATAGTCACCAAAACTGAGGAAAGGTGACA